CCTATTAAAGCACCAAACAATATTTTAGGTCTCACCAAGCTCTGTCATGAGCAGTGGGAAATGTTAAAGCAATGACAAATGTGGTGCCTATCTTTGCCACTTTCTGTTATGTAAAACTACTATGAATCTGCTCCTCAGGCACTAGTTTGAATTTACTAGACTTCAATAGTTTGTTTTCCAGTCACTATTTTGTTAGTGACTAGAATTTACCTTTAGTCAGGGCCATTCATGAGTTGGGAATGTGTGTTTCATGTAATTATTTTATATAGGGATTAAATCAGTGTTGATTTAAAGCAGTTAATTGACACTAAAACTGTCAAACTAAGTTGCCCTGGTATATTATCTGAGCATGAAGGACTACATCTTGGATTTGTTTCTCATAATACTATGTTTGTCTAAATAACTTGAAAATGTATGTGTAGTATTCAAAACAATTTGGATGAGAGACAAACTGAAGACATTTTAAACAGGCACAAATGACTTAGACTTCTCTGATAAGCCAAAAATTAATACAGACCTAGCCTAAATTTGAACCTTCAATTGACTCACCTTCTCCATATGTAAATTTTGGAAAATCGAGAGAATTAAAAATTACACCATGAACTTGGTATTTGTCCATGTCTCTTGCTGTGCTTTTATAGAGACTATTTTTCTCCAAAAGTTAAGTCCTTTATTCGTATACATGTGAGAAGTTGGTGTAAAAGATGCCATCCACAGGCATCATGGATTCCTGAAAAAGTGATTATTGTATTTGCTAAAGTTATTGCAACTGTTGTCATGAGGGTGGCTGTAATATGTTTGAAGTAAGAAATAGTATTGTGTAAAGTGTAGAGAACATTGTTTGGTAGCAAACATAGAGTAGAGCTAGTAGATGAAATGGTTTAACCATTATTTTGAGAGTTTTGGTTTTTAAAAAAGATAAATAATGGTTATCTTTTAAAAAAATATATATATAAGTAGAAACTTGACCAAAAGGTACATAGGAGGAAAACAGTCTTTCCTTCCCTGCCACCCTGCAGAGATCCTGAGTTAAGGCTTGGAAGGAAGGCTTCCAAGTGTATTTGATTTTTGGCATGTGGGGATGAGGGTAGGGGTGGGGAAGGGAACTGAAGCATTTGAATAAGTTAGCTGATGAGAAGAAGGCTCATATGGGAAAGATTTTAGAGTTTGGAACATGAAATTTTAATTTTTTTTTCTCAACAACTAATGCATGGGTGAGTTCCACATTCTAAGATTACAACATGTTTTCTTTTTCTCCTGTCCCTCAAACTGGAGTTAGTATTTGATACAGGCTGAATTACTTATAGTGTACCTTTCCAGGGATTTTACCTGCTTTTATAAGGATAAACATTTACACACACAGTTCTGTACGTGCTTTTCTAAGTTTGATGAGTATCTCGCATTCATGCAGATAGAGCAGCCACTGTTTTGTTGAACAGCTGTGCATTTTATATACTATTATAGACATGCATCATGTAACCATCTTCTGCTGATGAGGTTTATAAGTACTTCTTCCATAAATATTTCTCTATACCTGCAAGTATACCCAGAAGATGAACCTTGAAATAGAATTGCTGCTTCAAAGAGCATGTCCATTTGAAGTTGAAGAGTCTCACACTGTTCTTTAGTGAGCACCCATGAGCAGAGTACGAGAGGCACCTGCTTTCCCGCACATCAGACTGATCTTTGCCAATACTGTAGGTGAAAATGACGTGTTGAGGTTTGCATTTGCCTCCCCCCATTAATAAGGTTGACTGTTACATCTCTGCTACTGTTCATATTCTTTGCCCCTTGTCTGTTGGGTTTTGGTGTCTCTGGTTTGTAGGAGCTCCTTATTTATTAAGGAAATGGTTACCTAATGTTACAAATATTTTCCTAGTTTTTTCTTCTAACTTTTCTAAAGTATTTTTTTATCAGATAGCCGCTTTTATTTTATATAGTCAATTATCAGTTTTTGGGCTTTTAGGTTTTTCTGTGATTTAAAAAGTGTTGTTTACTCTGTGTATGCATGTATAAAGTCTATGTTTTTTTTCTAGTACTTTTAGAGTTTCATACTTTTATACTTAAGACTTTGATTCAACCACTTTGATCTTAGTTCACCATGATAGGAAGCTACCTTTAGTTTTTTCTTTTTAAAGTCTAGATTAAGCATCCAGATGTCTATGTTTTCTTTACCCTTTTGGAGTACTTCATTTATTATGTACTAATTCTCCTTATGTATTTGATTTTATTTCTAAATTTAAAAGTTCTGTCCCAACAGTTTGTCTTTTTTATGTCAATAACATGCTGTTTGTGATATCTTGTAGATTAATGCACATAATCCCTATTTCTCATAGCTTATTCTTGCTATTCTTGCCCCTTTTCCCATTTGAACCTTATACATTCTCAGGCTAAAACAGGTTCTAATTTTCAATCTACTACAAGTTTGCAGATTTTAAGGTATATGAAAATTCTCATACTTTTATTTTTAACCCCTGAAGGAAAGAGCCGTAGCCTCCAGATTGTCTCCTGTCTTCAAGGTCTTTTGTCTTAGGTTGATCTCACACAGTAGTCCTGACTTTAACCCTGTGTGGCCTTTTAAAAACATCTCTTTTTGTAAAAGTCATATATCAAAAGTCATTCCTTGTTATTTTCCTCTGCAGCAATACTAAAGTTCTTCTCAGAGATTTTCTTAAAAGTGTTACTTGTATCCCATGCACTGATAGCAAGGTAACTTTTCTGTCCCTGTGTGACTTCTTATTCTTGTAGCGTATATGTTAGTCTTGAAAGCACAACAGGCATTCAGCAGCATAAATCAGGTCGTATTTTTGTAGGTCCACCAACATACTGGATAGGAATCCATGTCACCAAGTCACATATAGTCTAGCTGTGTCTCAAAACAAGGCTAGGGCCATACCTTCCTGTAAACACCAAATTACATGAGACAGGAGGGTACCATATGTTCTTTAGAAGAGGAGCCGCAAGGAATTACTGAAGGTGCAGAAAGCATAGAAAAAAGAGAACTGTAGTGTCTCAAATCTTGTTTGAAACCAGCAGGTAGCCACAGCAAACACGAAGTATGCCATCATAAACTTTGCCTGGTATCTGTAATTTAGGAGTGTCTTGGAGGCTGACATAGCATAGGACTTTTAACGGTGTCAGATAAGACTAGAGGGTCAACTTTTATCTTCTCACTGACAAGCATTTTTTTTTTTTTGTAGCAAGCAGAGGAACACTCATTCATAGATGGGTCTTCTTTGAATGTGCTGTGATCATGGCATCAAGCACCCCATTGCCATCTGAGCAGGTTCTTAATCCCTTAATTTAGATCGTAAGGTAGGGGTACCCTGATCTGGCTTGAAAGGAGGCTTGGCGGGGGCACTGTCACTTGTCACTTCAGCTGCATGCTGCTTTAGTTTCCTCAGCCCCAACCAAAAACTCACATTGCCTTTCTGTTGACTTTTGCTCCGTACCAGTAAGTGAACTCTGCTGTGGCCTTCCTGTTCACCCCAATCAAGGAACTGAACTTCTGCTCATGTTCCATTTACTTCCTAAAGTAGAGCTGTTATATACCACACACAGCTTGGACTGGCGTCTTATGTTCTTATCCCCCTTCACGAAGGGGAGCTACTAGAAAGCTCATTTCTGTGTGGCCAGCAGTGTCCTGATTCCATGTGGAATCTCTGGCACTGGGGCAAGGCCAGAAATCCATGTTGGAACCCCAAGAGAATGCATGCTGATGTGCATTCAAAAGCAGCAGCTTTCAAACAATGAAACTGCATCAGGGTGGATTTTGTCTGTGTACAGCAAGTCAAAAAGCACAGTGGTGGGGAAACTGGTCAGAATGAAATCTGAGGAAAGCACTGTGACCTGTTATTTCCAGCTTTTTCGTCTGTCTATCCAACATTAGACTTACCTGGGTCCACAGGTATTTTAGCTTTCCAATATACTACTATATGTTCTTATATATTAGAATTTTTATAATAGGATTTGCAGAGATCTATTGCCTTTCATTTTTTGGAAAGTATAACATAGTTGAAAATTACTTTAGATACTTTACAGTTATGGCAGGTGAAGCATGAGAAGCAGTGCTTTTCTCCTAGGGCTCAGTGCTAAGTTTATTTTCCTCAAGTGCCTTTATAGAGCTCTTTTTCAAAATATAGTTGAAACATTACACTACCCCAAGGAAGTTGCCAGGTCCTGCATAGGGCATCCTTGCTGGAGGGTTCGTTCCACTCCACAGCTGAGCTAACCTTTGGTTGACCAGAAACTTTGTCCTGCATAGGGCTCCATGTTTCTGTCCTGAATGACAGAGTATTTGTTATAAGACACGTGTGCTTATAGGTAAAGGGGCTTAGGGAGTCTTGCTAAGTGAATATACAGTGTGCTTTGTTTTGGTAGAAATGGTCAGACTCCCAAGGCTTGGTGAGGTTGTAGCACACAGTTCAGAATTTGTCTATCTTTAGGGAAGGGAGTGTGTGTGTGTGTGCTTGGTGTGGGTGTTGCCTAGGTATGAGTTCAAAATGTAGTTAGAGAGCCAAAAGCAGGGGAGGTAATTGATAAGTCTAAAGAAAATAGCAAATGGGCAAAACATACAAGCTCTGTATTTTACTTTTTTTCTCTTTTTTTTTTTTTTAACAGGCTCTTTATTGATTAATAGTGTGTTTAGGTTACTTGGTTTAGTAAGGTTGTCTGTATTCCTTCACACCAAGGAAGGAATACTGGTCTGATCTCTCACCCACCACCGACCAGACAAGCAAAACAAGAGCAGAACCAAAACCCACACGAAACAAAGTTATGACATTATGCAAATTAATACAGAATGAAATTTGAGCATTTGTCCTTACTCTGTGCTTTTACATTTTTAACTTAATCTTCACAGCAACACCAAGTTGCAGGTACTGTAATGGCTACTTCACAGGAAAATGTTCAGGGATGAGTGAGCATTTCCTTCAAGCTCTGTAAGCTACTTTGCCATATTGAAGTGAATCCTAACTCTCTTTTTCACCCCTCACTTGCAGTTTCCCTGGCCAGAATATCCTCACCATGGCAGAGGAGAGCAGCAGTACCCAGGACTGTGTGTCCTTCAGCGTGCTCAACTGGGATCAGGTTAGCCGGCTACATGAGGTCCTCACCGAGGTTGTCCCCATTCACGGACGAGGCAACTTCCCAACCTTGGAGATAACCCTGAAGGACATCGTGCAGACTGTCCGCAGCCAGCTGGAGGAGGCAGGCATCAAAGTGCAGGACATCCGGCTGAATGGCTCCGCTGCTGGCCACGTTTTGGTCAAAGACAATGGCTTGGGTTGCAAAGACCTGGACCTGATCTTTCACGTGGCTCTTCCAACAGAGGCAGAATTTCAGCTGGTAAGAGATGTGGTTCTGTGTTCCCTCCTGAACTTCCTGCCAGAGGGTGTGAACAAGCTCAAAATCAGCCCGGTCACTCTGAAGGAGGCGTACGTGCAGAAGCTGGTGAAGGTCTGCACAGACACAGACCGCTGGAGCCTGATTTCCCTCTCCAACAAAAATGGGAGGAACGTGGAGCTCAAGTTTGTCGACTCCATTCGGCGTCAGTTTGAGTTTAGCGTGGACTCTTTCCAAATTATCCTGGACTCTCTGCTTTTTTTCTATGACTGCTCCACCAACCCTATCTCTGAGGATTCCCACCCCACAGTGATTGGGGAGAGTGTCTATGGAGACTTTGAGGAAGCCTTTGACCATCTGCAGAACAGACTGATTGCCACCAAGAACCCTGAAGAAATCCGAGGTGGGGGCCTTCTTAAGTACAGTAACCTCCTTGTGCGAGATTTCAGGCCCACAGATCAGGAGGAGATCAAAACTCTGGAGCGATATATGTGCTCCCGATTTTTCATCGACTTCCCAGACATCCTTGACCAGCAAAGGAAGTTGGAGACCTACCTTCAAAACCACTTTGCTGAGGAAGAGAGAAGCAAGTATGACTACCTCATGATCCTGCGCAGGGTAGTGAATGAGAGCACCGTGTGCCTCATGGGGCACGAACGCAGGCAGACCCTAAACCTCATCTCCCTCCTGGCCTTGCGTGTGCTGGCAGACCAGAACATCATCCCTAATGCCACCAATGTCACCTGTTACTACCAGCCAGCTCCTTACGTCAGCGATGGCAACTTCAATAATTACTACGTTGCCCACCCTCCAGTTACCTACAGCCAACCGTACCCTACCTGGCTGCCCTGTAACTAACCTTGAGACCTGAGGGTTTCCGCAGTGGGAACCCAGTAGGGCATGGGCTCTCAGGTAGGGGAGCCTCCTTCTAGGTGTAGGTGTTTGGCTTTTAAAGGAGAACTCAGCTCTGATTCTGATTTGTGTGTGTGTACCCATTGGAATGGGTCTGCAGTACACCGTGAGCCAACCCTAAAAGGACCCGTCTTACAGTGCCACTTCGGAAAATGCTATAGGAAGTGTGATCTACCCACATCTTTCCAAGATAGACACTAACATGTCACATCCCAAATATTAGTGCCCTGGGCTTTGAGCTCTGTGGAATAATCAAGATTGGGAGAACTCGGGCACCAGACAACAAGTTTTAAGCCTCTTTTTTTTCTCACCTGAGCCTAGAGTAGGCTGTGTGGGGCCACAGTCTGGTTTTTAGCAGTTACCTGGAAGTTGTACTGAAAGTTTCTCTTCTTGGGTCGGTTTTAGTCAGGCAGAAAATAACAAACATGAGGGTACTCTTGTGACTTAATTTTTGTTCATGGGACTAAATTGCTTGTGTCTAGTCCCTGTCAGCAGAGCTGAGAATTTCTTTCATAAATAAACCAAAGCCAATAGCTGGAGACTGGCAATCTGGTTGGAAGTGGTTTATGGTTTAGAAGCTGTGCTATCTTGAGAAATTATGAGATATTGCTAAGAAAAAAAAATGATCTTTTTCTTGAAATGTAACTTGAAAACAAAATAAAATGTGGAACATAAAGTTAATGTAGAATTGTGGTGGAGGTGGTGGGGGGTGGTGATTGTAAATAGGAAACATGAATGTTCTTTTTTTGTTCTTAAAGAATTCTTATTGAATGACATCTTTCCCCCATTAACTCTCTCATGAATGACTTTTGTGTTGCTCTTCCTAAGACTGTGTCTGTGTTCATTGTTGAAACTGACATGAGGGGCTTCCCATGTTTTAATTGGAAACCCATTTTGGTCACATTCCATATATGACAAGCTGTCTTTCTGGAGTACTTTGGCCATTTTTTTTTTTTTTTTGGTTTGCTTTCTTTTTGCTTTTTAAAATAGTGATTTCTTTCTCCAGGTATTTATGACAGCCCATGGATTCAGGAATTTCAGTAGAACTGAGTGACCTGTGGAATTGGCTTAGAATTTAACCACCTGTCCTTGTGCCCTGTGAAGATAGGGGTTTAGCATTCAGTCTGGCCTTGTGTGCATTGCAGCCACCGAGGTGCTTTGAGGTCTTTCCAGTGTATTTGGGAAAGAATTGAGTGAATGAAGAATGATCTTCCTTATTTGGTAGAGTTGACAATATTTGTTTATATTCTGCACTTTAGAAGGAAAACAGTGTTAATCTCTAGTCTAAAGCAAACTTAGTGGGAGAGGTCTAGGCTACTGTTGCTTTTCCCAGTAGATTTAGATAAGGGATTTTGTTTTGAAACTTTCTGTGGGCTCTTTTTAGAAAGCATTACTTTAGGGTATTGGGGGAAAACAGTATTGCCAGCCAGTTTGGTTTTTAATCACATCCATGCTCTTTTATTTTCTCCTGTGGCCATAAAAATCCAAAGCCCTGAGTGATTGCTTTCTGTTCATTTTAAGCATTGACATTATCTTAATATGGAAATGCCTAGTAGGAAATGTGTGGTTGACCTTTTCGTAAAGATATATTTTCAGGTTTCTTCTGGAATGTGCTATCTTGGTCCTCTTAAACAAGATATGATTGAAACCCAAGGTTTAGCTTGTTCCCGTATTGTGCCGTGTTAGGTGACTAGAAGTCTCTTCTGTGTAACCAGCTCCTGTTTCTCTGTGAGCCTTGGTTATATTTGAATTGACTGGCTTTGAGACAAGGCTGGTTCTATGAGGAGATCTTGGAGGGGATCTCAACCTTCAAAGTTATTTGATCATCTATGACTTTAAAATACTTCCATTGTGGTTAAGTAACAAATTTACACAAAAATGACAGATTTGTTTAACTAAAGCCTTTGAAATGTGATGAAGCCATAGCCAGCAGAAGCACTTGGTCACAGAAATCAGTATTGGTTTGACTTAGAAGGTTTGGAGGCAAATGAGACACAGGAGCAAGGTAGTATCTGAATCAAGAAATTAAATTTCCAGTTTGTCCTTGGAGTTCTTTGTGCTTACATATTTTTTCCAATCTGGAAAGAGTCCTTTGATGAGGATGAAGGCAGGCATGGACATTACAAGAAAGTCCCTGCTTCCCCGTTCTTTAGTACTGTTGTGTGGTGCCCATCTTGCTAGTCTTTTCACCCAGTGTTTTCTTGTCAGCCCAGCTAATTTTTGCAGTTTGCTGATAGCAATGTGTTCTACAAGCATCAGGGTAAAAAGTTGCACTGACCAAAGCTGCGCTTTTAAAACACAGCCCCTATGCTGGTGGTGTCTTCACCTGCTCCATGAGCCTTTTGCCAGCCTCAGAATAGGCCAGGTAACCTTGAATTTCAGATGTCTGGAAATTCTATCTGAAAGCTGCCTTTTGTGCTGCTCACACAAGCTCCAGACACCCTGAACTTGTACTGAGTCCAGTGGTTCCTTATTTTTTTGTGTGTTGAGTAACATGAAACTTGGCAGGGGCAAAGGGCACTAAAGTTCAAGTACAGGTTCTAATCTAAATTTAAGCAGCCTAATTTTCTTCAGGACTTCGAGCTCTTTTCTGATGCCTTTGCGACCAGCCTGTTTCTTCAAGTCAGGTTGAGCAACAGTAGGATGAAAAAGGATGCCCTTCCCCTTCTTGTTGGTAGAAAACACGCATTAGATTCCTGGCCTTGAACTTCAGTGTCACATTCAGTGTAACATTAGCAATAAGACACTATTCCTCGCTCAATTTCAATGCCAAAATGAAACTCTCTGTGACCAGCACCTTTAAGTCAGAGTTTCTGATGACTGCAAATGGCCTGTGGCGTGGCTTATACACGGGGGGCCTGGCAGATGGGGCGGGTTGAGTAGGGAACTTGATGCTTGGTTCCTGGTAAGTGGCATCTACATGGTTTGGCACTCAAGTTTTTGTTTTTGATTTTGTTTTTCCTCCAGTTTGATTTACACTGAAGATTTGAGTCACAGCGAGCTATGTGTGAACCTGTGTTGCGTGGTGATGCATTAATAATCACATTGCTAAAGCCGTGAATCTGCTTTCCTTTGGCTCCACCTATAGCATTTTCATGGTAGGTTAGGTTTTTAACTAGTATTGCTTAGCTGTGGGAAATGGTGTCACTCAAAAACAACTTCCAAACTTTCAGAAGAACGCCTTTCTAGTGATGTGCCTGGTACTGGTGCCTTGTTTTAGGAAGCTGTTACAGCCTTAGCTCAAACATCTTCTTCCGGAGAGTGGATTTAATGTTAACCAGCTGTGAGAAGAAATCCTGATATTCACCAGGGGCCTTACCTTCTGGGTATTAAATAGGGTTCTACTCTAGTGAAGTCCCTTTGGGTAGATTCTGTACCTTGAAATAACTTCCAGTTTCCAATGTTAAAATTCATATCCTAAATCTGGCGGACACCAGAGATTCACACTGATGTAGAACATATTCCAGTTAAACCAATTAAACTCAGAGGACCAACAGGGATGGTTAGAAGAGATGTATTTAAAAAGACCTGGCAACTTTTTGGATTGTTTATGGAGATCGCAAAGGAAAGAAACGACCTATTTTGTGAGTTACAGTGCCTACATTGTGTTTACTTATCACTTTTTAAAAAATAGTTTAAGTGTAAGCTAAAGATAATGCTTGGAGTTCTGCCTGGGCTGTTGAGAATTGGTGAGAATTCTCATGCGTGCTTATGGTATAGGAAGGTGAGCTGACATCCACTGAAGAGGAGGCGGTGGTTAGTGTGGATCTGACCATTTTTTAAAAATCTCAAGCTAACTGATTTTTTTTCAGGGTGAAAATTTAATTTTCCTAAAGCAGCTACTCATATTCAAATTGATATAGAAAAAAGTGAGACACTCAGTAGACTAAACTTGAAGATCTTTTGTTCTATATTTGCCTATTTTTTTTTTGCACACCCAGGGTGTGTGGGTTTCCTCTTTGGTAATGGTCACTCACCTTCTTACTTAAGCAGATGAGATCACCTGTCAATGCAACAGTGTTAGAACTTGGTGAAATAAAGCTTTTGAGTGTGAAATAAAGGTACATTGAAAAATTTAAAAAAACTTTGTCAGTCATGCTTATTGCTTTATTTCTCCTCAGTGGTGAGCTTGTCTTAGGTTTCAGGGGGCATGGAGATGAACATTTATTACCGCGCCAACCGTGGGTCCTGTTTTTAAAGGCAGTGGTCTGGTGGTGATGGTGGGATACATTGGAGGCCATGAAGCCCTTCTCTGAGCGCCCAGCTAACTTAAACTAAGCTTTATTGTGGACCTCAGCTTACTGGCTAAGATATATTGTAGATGAAATCTTGAAACGTCTTCACTGGCACCCAGTATGATCCAGTGTTCTCAACACCAAATCTCTTTCAATAAGAAAACCAAAATAACCCCAGCCATACTATGGGCAGCTACTGCCAGAGTTTCTTCACAACTCTTAAGATACATAGGTGGGAACAAGAAAACCTGAGAAGCCAAAAGATGTTTAAGGAATGTGAACAGATGCTATACACCCTTGGTGGCAAACCTATGGCATGCGTGCCTCAGGGGGCTGTTTGTTATCACCGAAAGCTCTCAGAAGTTTGCCATCACTGCTGTAGACTGTGTGTGGTGAGCTACTTTCTTGATTTCTTAGATCCACTTTCTACCTGTCTCAAATGTCCCCCTCATTCTTGCACCTTCCAAGATCTCTCTTTGGGGCTGAGTTTCCCAAGTTCTATGGTCTTCACTGAGAAATTTATATCATTTCCTGTAAAATCCTTCATCCTTTGGCTTTTGATCAGACTGCCACTGTCTCTTCGAAGCCTTTCAATCTATGGATGAGTGCATTTTCTGGAGTCTAAAAGGAGTAGAATCTGTCCAGATCACTCTGCGTGATTCAGTCACCCTTTCTCCTCTGGAAGCTCATGAGCCTCGTAGTTGACTGTGTTGGCCATGAGCCATGCCCATGAGCCTCGTAGTTGACTGTGTTGGCCACCTGCTCACCCTGCTCAAACTGTGTGCATATGGAACGGCTCACGGTGGTTGCTCCCTTTGGGATCACAAGAACAGGAATCAGTGGGAGAGCAGTTTCCCCAACTGATGTTTGCCCCTTGGTACTATTGCCCATTAGTAACTGTTACCCTTGTACTGTAAATCTTCTGCAGTGGTCCTTTACTTTGCCCTCTTTGCCTTCAATTCTTGCTTGGGCCACTTTATGAGTCTTGCTACTTGTCCCTGTGCTTTTTGATTCCTCCAGGGGATCTTGCTAAGCCAATGTATGCCTCTCCCCAAACATTAAAACTTTCTGCAGACCATGCTGTACAAGAACAGGCCTCAGACTGGATGTGACTCGTGGAGTCCTTCACAGCCCCAGGCTACCGTACCATTCTCTTTCCTACTTCCTACTTGGACTCTCCTGGCCTGCTGATAGCTTCAGAGCAGTGCCTCTTAGGCATCCACCACATGGCACAGCAGTTTTCTGAAAACTCAGTGTCACCCCTTTCCTGCCACCTTCAGCTTCCCAGTCCCTGTCCTGCGGCTTCCCCTTCCTCCTGTTTCTGTTAGTGTCCTTTACTGGGTTGCATTAGTTCTACACCTACATATGAGCACCTCTGTGTTCCAGTCCCTTCTGCCTGCCTCCCACATGACTGGCATAGATGTTGAACTTGGTGTTTTTGTCCCTGGAGGACTTGGACTCTGGCCACCAGCAAGGAGGAGGATGAATCCTGGATATTTACATGGAAGTGTTGTAATGCCTCATTCTGGTGCCAGAAATCGGTCTCAGGCATTGTCCAGACCAATATTTACATGCAGAACAGCTTGTGTGGGAAGTGGTGGTGCTCAGTTCCCTGGAATGAGTAGTCACGTCCCGAAGCATTGTAACGCTGTTGATCACAAGCATTTGCTTCGGGCTGAAGGCTTCAAATTTGGCCATGTTCTTCTTGACTCCCCACCCACCCGCTCCTCCTGACACACCCTTCTGGTGGTTTAGTAGAACTTCTCCAGTGTCACCTCCAAGTGTTAGTTGAGGACCTGATTGCCACTCAGTTTCTTTAAGATCTCAGAAGTGCACATCTAAATGAGTGGGTTTTTTTTCTTCTTCACTGTCTAAGGAGTCATTTGGGTATGTGATAACATACTTGGTTGAGGTTTGGGATTACTACTGGTTGGAAAGTGCTACGAGCACTAAAAGAACCCAAGAGGGTTTACCAGATAAACTCCATGAGAAACAGCCTGACACTTCTACATGAAGGCACTACTCTACAAACTTGCCAGGTGAGTGACTTTACCTCCAAACACCTTTTTTCAGGTAGAGGCAGAGGTAAGTGAATGATCATACCAAGACTGTGATGTAAAAAGCAGTCAAATGGCACCATGGTGAGTGGTCTCCTACTCCCACTCCCCCAACGCCCTGCCTAAAATCTGAAGGAGGCATTGGTGAGATCAACTGGCTTCCTACACCAAGTGACAGCTGCAGAGCTGGGCCACAGTGCTGGTTTCTTTCCTTCTGGCCCCATGCTTTCTCCTATACCGCAGGGCTGTGTTCTTCTGGGAGCAAATGCTATCTAGGAGACTGTGCTGTCCTAGCAGGTGGACCACATGCCTCTCAGCCTCTTGATTGGCATCCCTCTCTTAAAGAGATTTCTGTGTTGCCAGAAAAGCCGGCTGATGTTGGGAGGCGTGGTTTCATGCCATCCCTGCCCCAGCTCAGAGCAATCCAGTCTGCCTATTCTGGAAAGTGACTGGAGCACAGATCTGTCCCCTCAACTCCAGGGCGTTTTCCCCAAAGCAGCTCAGCTCCCAGGCTGCTTTCATTAGAGAAAGGCATGAGGAGCATGGGTCACCTGCATTTTTTCAGATGCTTATCTGGAAAGAAGGGATCACAGGCTTACTGTGTGGGAGAGAGACATGGAGACCAGCAGCATACCAACAACTTCGGCTGGACTATTCTAGACAATTTTAATGCATCCCTTCCACATGGCTAGCGCAGGAGGCTTTGCTCAAGGGGTTTGTTAGAAACTAAAGCTGTGAGAAATGGAATTTCTTGTATTTGATGAGGACTTGAGGGCTCACCAAGTACACATTGTGTGCATGTGGCCTTCAGAAACCTGAGATTGGGCAGCCACATTCCCACTGGACAGACAAGAAGCCAGAGCTTAGAGCGCTTCTGAATTGTCCACAGCTGCACATCAGCTAGGAGACTGGATTGTGCACAAAGATCTGACTGCACAGCCAGTTCTTCTTGCTCTTATGACCCTGAAGGCACTCTGTGAACCCTACACGGCATGCAAGTAAAAAATTGTATGCCAGCCCTTCTCAAGGGCCAAGGAGGTGTTGAGTTGCCTGGTAATAGATCCGTTTCCACTTAGGCAGGAATTCCTTGAACAAGCCAGCAGCTTTTCTCAGACAACTCTCCCTTTGTGAATCACGATGGAGGGCCCCGCTGTGGGTGCTGACAAGTTTGGGGCATACTCAGCAAGTGCCAGGTCTTGTGCTAAGCCACAGCATTTAACCTCCCAGCAACTCTCAGATGGACAATTGTTTAGAGACAAGGAAACTAACATGTTAGGTGTCTGGCAGGGTCAGCACACGGCTCTGGGGTGTCTGGCTCCAGACTTAGGCTTTTAGCTACTCAACACTATTGTTTGTCTTCATCTTGTATTTTATAGGGTGGCACAACGAAGAGGCACAAAGGGGCACGTAGCCTGCCGTCCAATAGGAGCCGCTGAAGGGGATGAGAATGCCAAAGCAACCAAGTCAAGCGATTAGTTACAAACAAAAATTAAGCCAAGTTAAAATTAGGTGCCTATTGCGTTTGGCACAAAGTTTTCAATTAGTCTTGAAGTCAAAACAGCTTCTTCCAAACCCTTACTAAGAAGCCGCATAATGTAGGGGCATTTTAAACTACCTGGGGGCTGGAGGGGAGCGGGGGCAGGGCTTCTGCAAGTCAGGAAACAGCCTCACATGTGGCTCTGATACAAGGAAACCAAGAAGGGAGGCTACTCAGGAAACTAATAGCAGAACCTGTAGCAGTTCCTGCAGTCAAGCACCTGTAGATTTTCATGTACTAAATATAGCAGAAATTGGGGTCATCTTATCCTTAAATAAACACTACAGTGAGGCAAACACTTGTAGGGAAAGAATCTTTACACTGGCTCATGTGCGGCCAGGCGGGGGGAAGCGGTGTTTGGGCCGGGCGGGCAACTTGCTGCTCCGCCACACCCCACTCCTTCAGGTTCCCCGGCCTCAAGTTCCTTGGTGGTTCTTCCTGGCTTGTAAGTCAGCTCGCTGTACCTATCGTCCCTGTGTCTTTTGTCCCCTCCCCACAACATGCACGTCGGTTCCCCAGCCCTGAGTGCGGACAGGGCAGAGTCCCTCCTCTCTCTAGCCCTGGCAGCGCACTTCTCAGCAGGCTTATTTTCCACCTTACTGTAGATATTACTGAAAGGAAAATGGTTCTTTGTTTTGCCCTCCCAACTTTGGATATGGCTGAGTAAGCACAGTCCCATTTCATGTAAGCCCAGGCCTTTTGGCTGCAGTTCTGGGCTCTATGGCCCCAAGAGCATACTGGCAGCCTCTTCCCTGAGTGCCTGCTGGAGGCAAGGGGCCAAGGTGTGGATCCCTCCTGAGGGGTGCAGTGGGGCAGTGAGACAGGGGACCATTAGAGCTTGTGGAGCTTGAGGTTCAAACCCAGCAGGCCTCCTCCTTTTCTGTGAGCTCATAAGCTGTTAAAGGTCAAGGATTCTCTTCATGAGTTAAGAGCAGTGATAATAATTATTCTGGAGTTAGGAAAAATTAGACAAAAAATGTTCTCTATAAAGCACCAAACCCTGTATCAGCTGCTTACACATTTATCCATTAGTTGATGTATGATGTCCTCTGGGAGTTTACAGTGTTCTTAAGGAGTTGAACTAAATTCCTAAGTGGCACTTAAAGCACCAACATTTTTATGCCATGGGTTCTTTGACTCTGTTGGATATCAGGAAGGAAATAACACTAACTACAAGTTATTGAGACCTATGAAGGGTGGTTCATGATGTGACCCATACTACGGCTGACGGTCACGACAGCTAAGTGTGATAGTC